GCAAAAGTGCTGAAAGACTTTTTCTTAATTTTCTTCTTTATTATTAAAAGCATGACATTTTCAGTCACTTATAATTAGTTGCTGCTATCTTTACAGTTTCCCACACCAACAATTGCAAAAATTACATTCGCTTCAAATTTCAGATTTTCTCCCTGCTAAAAACTTTTCACATGAAAACTAAGCACACTTAGAAAATGAGGCCTCTGGTCATTTGCATCCTAGCGACGCCACAAGATACCTGTTTGGAAGCACATGCTGCTACTCTAAATCCCTGATCAAGACCTTCAGCCCAATAATGCTCCATGGACACTGCAAAAAGCTACTTATTGCTACCCAAGGGATGGGGGAAATACAGACAACTACTGTTTACTGTAGTATTTTTTTCTGGAACAAGACTATATTGTTATGAAAATGCAAAGGTTTTATATTATCATTGATATATAAAGTTATCCAACTTGCTCTACAGCTGAATGATTGATTTTTGTTGTATAAAAGTATGCTAGTGTGTCACTGTATGGATATACAAACAGATGTTTGTGTATCCAGCTATTAGCATTGTGAGTCATGTAAAATCCTTACACTTGGAAGGTGTCCATACTGTCTTTTACCCACTCAGTATTGGATTTTTCTGCTGGGAAATCTTCTGCCTATGTTTTTATTTGGGCATCTGCTCTGTGTACTGTTGTCAAGGGATGAAGCGCAAACTGTCACCCAGCTGCTGTATTTTGGATTTTATGACTGAGAGGCATTGCGTTAACCAGATTGAGAAATGAAAGGTTTTGGTTTTCGTTGAAAAACAAAACCTCCATTTTTGCAACATATAAATTTGATCTCTCTCCTTTTTTTTTTCTTTCCACATTGTAGTTCAATGTCAAACTCAGCTTTGTTTTAGGAGCTCGACTTTTACCCATCACAACTTGGGATACGTTTTTGGTTTTTTTGGTTTTCAATCTGTTTGTCTGGATCAGGAACATTCTATTATACAACTATGTCCCGCTCAACTCAAACCTTTAGCAGTATATAATTACAGTGGTTCCTGCTTTTGTGTGTTGAAATAAGGCAATGGTTCTCAGATTAAATATATATATTCCCACCATAATTTACTACGTTTTTCCCCACATATTTTACATAGCTCAACTAAGAAACAACCTGATCTGTGCAGAGTTAAAATGTAAAACAAAAAAGTCATAATAACCCTACTGCATGAGTCTGCAGATCATCCTGCTAACAATTGCTGAAGCCCCTTTTGTATTGAATTTAAACATTTTTTGTCCACGGGTTAGGGTTTATCAGCATAGCAAGACCTGACTCTAACATTCGTCCATCTGGCAAAAGTTCTCCAGATTTGATGGATCACAAAGAAATCCCTTGTAAGCAGCCCTCTTCAGCTAAAGGCACATATTTTCAGTTCTGATTAAGCCATTCCAGAATAGAATAAGTTTTTTTATTTTCTAGTGTAGCCCTTCTTTTTTTATTTGGACTCATTCTTTAAATATTTATTGTCTTTTTATTGTCAAACCCTTATAACAAATTTACATATTTGTTAATTATACATGTTATTTTTTACAGTATAATGAATTGTTTTCTATGCTTATCTTCTCCCCTTGTTCAAAAAAAACATCAACATTTTAATGGCTTCATCTCTGCCAAGAGAAGAAGCATTTGAAATATCTATGCAGTTAGGAAAGGATGATGGTGACATTTAGTGGTCATTTATTAGTATTACAAATCATGGCCGTATTTCAGCATGAACAGCCATATCTAGTTCATCCCACCGGTGGAAAAGCCACAATGCAAATTCCATAAAAGTTCATAAACACATCAGGGTCTGCAATTTGTCATCAATTAGACACAGAGTGAAGATGAAAGTTTTTAAGAACAAATTATATAATCAACAGTTATTGTGTGTCGAGATGCACCATGGGGACATGCCTAGCTCAACATTTTGTTTGGGCATGGTATTCTTCCTGAAGCGTTCCTTCTTCAGAGTGTATGCCAAGCATTTTTAGCACAATATGTCAGTTGCTCACAAGTAACAGCACCAATATCAACCAAACGGCAACTGTGCTAACAGCACGATTACTTCACATAATATTAGCAATTGTCATAATAAACATTTTGAAAATTGCTAAGGAAGATTTTAGATCTACTTAAAGTATTAGATACTGAATATGCAAGACTTGCCAAAGAAAAGGATGAGGGTAAAAGATCTAAAAACTGGATTTTGAAAAGAACAAAAAAAGTGTAATTTGTCCTAAACTGTCCAGCACAGATTAGTGCTGCAGCTTTACTTATGTGATAATCTCTGGTACACAAACAGCACCGCATGAGTCATGCCAAAACAGACACCCACGCAACACTGGATTAAAAGCTCTTGCTATCGGTAGATAGGATTAAAACATACTATTAAAATATATATATATATATATATATATATTTGTGTATGTAAATAGTAAGATTTTTCTAATTCAACAATTATAAGGATAAAAAGAACCCCCCTTCAAAGATTGTCAATGTTTTTCCCGGTTTTCATCACATCAAGCTTTTATATGTTTTCTGAGTTGTTAAAAGTATTCATGTTTATTTTTGAAGTATAAGTACAAATACTACTGTTTAAAAACAGTGAGTTTCAACTTAAGCTTTTTTACTCAAGTAAAAGCATAAAAGTACAATTTTTAACACTACTTAAAAGTAAAAATTAAAGTAATGCAGGGAAAAAGGTTAAAGACAGACGCTTTAAAGCTCATACTTGTTACTGCACTAGACTTTTAAAGGAACATTTTTCCACAATTCTGGATGATAACTTTCTGATAATTAAGTTTCTTAGTTTTATAGCTAATGGTAAGAGTGTCAGATTTAACTTTGAACAATCTTGAAAAACTATTTATTTTGGCATGCGTTGAACAAGTTGCTGCAGCACTGAGTCAAACCACAAAGAAATAATTGTCTGTGTGAAGCTAATTATTTAGATGATTTTTTATTAATTTTTAAATATAAAAAGGCCATAACTAAAATGAGCTTAAATAAAATAAAACTAACACATCTATTTTTAAAATGTATGGTGTAGAAGTAAAGTTGCCTAAAAAATAATTACTCCAGTAAAGTACAGATAGCCAAGATTTCTACTTAAGTGAGGTAAAAAAGTATTTGTACTTAGTTACTTGACACCTGTGGTTGTTATAATGAAACACATATTTCCAGAAGCAATGCCAGGAAAAGTTTTCTCAACCAAAATTTTAATCATCCTCCTACTCATAGATTAGATGGAGGTTTAGTACAGGGTTTAACTCGTCAGTAACCAAAATATATCCCAAAACAGTGGAACAATTGAAGAACTAAGGGAGCTCAGATATTGTTAACTTATCTTTTTTTTTAAAAAGAATGTGTCTTGGATTAGAAATAGACCCATCAGTGGTGCTGTCCACTCTAGAATAAACTGATACAGTGTAAAACAAATTAAAAGGATGGGAATTGTGCAGCAGCTGCCTACCTGATGAATATCTTTTTAGACTGCAGAAGGATACTAACAGACTGTTTTCAATTCCATTGACACTAATAGAAACTAGACCTAGCTGAGATAACTTTGTGCTAACATTGCAAAAAACTTCACCAATATGCAGCCTTTACTCTAAAGAGATCTGATCTCTGGTGATCTCTGGGGGGGGGGGTTATGGGTTAGAGCAGTGTGCTTGGCTCTGAAAAGGTTGCAAGTACCTGGTTCAGACCCCACAGCCTCCACTCTAGGTTCCTGAGCTAAACCCTTAACCCATGATTGCGCCACACAATGGCAGCCCACTGCTCCCCAAGGGCATAGATCCAAATGCAGAGAACGGATTTCCACATTTTTAGACAATAAAGGGATCTATATCCCTTCACCCCTCACTTGTAAACAACACCCACAAATTATTAAACTCTGACAATTGAGGCAAGGACTTCTCCACAACTTGGAAAGGGTAACCCTCCTTTTTCTAATCAAGAATCTTGGTTTCAGTTTTTGTGGAACTTATTTTCAGCCTGGACCCTTTACTGATTTTGAACAGCCCAATCCATGCTGTTGGACTTGTCTAGAGCAGCCATTATCAACCTTGGGGTTCCATGTGCCATAGATGTTTGTTTTAAATCCCTGTTTCCATGATTTTCCTCTTAATAGAGCCATAAAAGTGGACTAACTATAATTCACCTTTTTTACATTCTTCCTTTACACACATCGCCTGACGGCATAGCTCTTTTGACCTAATCTGAAATTCCAGAGATTAAACATGCGGCCAACTCTCCATCCTTAATTCCTTCATCCCCTCCCCCTTTTTCTCCAGCAGATTTACACACATTCACCCACACACACTCAGAGTTCTGCCAGGCTTGTCATTTTGAGTGCATGAATATGATGTTTTCAAGGCAGAGGGGAGACGATGGGTGGGATGAATTAGATTTAGTTGGACTAAATTCAAAAAATGACTTGTGAGGATAGAAAGAAGCTTATGTGTTAGTGTGTAAAAAGACAGACAGTGTGGAAGAGAGAGAGAGAGAGAGAAAAACAGAGGGAGAGAGAAAAATGGTCAAGTCCTGCAATCACAGCCAGAGTCTGGCAGTAGCAGGATGTTTCAGCCCAGATATGAGCCAGTGTTACCGACCTGCTCAGTCAATCTTTAACATCCTGCTTTTCCATAATATCTCACCAAACCTTTTAAATATCAGAAGTCTTGGATTCAACATAGCATCACACACCTGTTTTACGCCTCAGAGGACCAATAGGATTCAGGGCAAGTGAATTTAGAGCAGTTGCCTTTAGTGACAGAAGTGCAGCTGGAAACTTTTTTTTTCCTCTCTTAAAAGCTGCCTCATTGCAATGGGAGGCTCTAGATTGAGCATGGATTTTGGAGTTTTATGTGACTTTTGAGTAGAGGGGGGGACCAAGGAAAAAGGAGTAGAAGAAACCCTGTATAATTGCTGTGACCACCAAAGAAGAAAGGGTGGGGGGGTGGGTGGAGATCTGTGGGGAGGGTAATGGGAAACATCAACAAGGCTTCTAACAAGGACAGTGACAGGAAAAAGGTATGTACAATTTGCAGTAAAACTGAAAGAGAACACAATGCCTTGTAAAGGACTTTACTCTGACATCTTGTCACATTTTGTGAATCACAAACTATGGATTTTGTGTCAAGACCAATACAGAGCAGCACATTGGTGTGAGGAAAACTATGCATTGTTTTCAAATTTGAAAGTAAAACAATTGAAAAGCCTGGCCAGACCCTCTAGGTCAGTACTTTGTTGAATGATCATTTTGCTGCAGTTACAAGATTTTTGTTTGTCTTTCCACCAGCTATGCACATCTAGAGACTGAACATTTTGCCTTGTCCTTCTGCTATTGACTAGAATTTAAATTGTTCCTTTTAATGGACCCTTGCAACAAATAAATATTTTTTTAATCTGAACCCTGCCGTTGTTTCTCTTCATGAGCTAAGTTTTTGATCTGCTTCTGACTCAGTCTGAAGTAATTTGGCAGCCCCCTGCAGAGTTCCTTCCTCAATAGAAAAAAAATAACATCCCCACAGCATCATTCTAACATCACCATGTGTCACTGAGGGATTCCTTAGGTGATCTGCAGATTTGGTTTGTGTGCAAACATCATTTTGCTTGTGGGCCATTTTTTATTTTTTTGCTTGTTTTTTCTTGATAGGTCACCTTTTTGACATACCCATTGTTCTTTCTGCAAACTAAAACGCCACTTATTGTGGCTTTGATTTAATAACGGCTGTCTTCATAATAATTCTAGACTAAACTCCTATCAACAAATTCCCCCTGTGACGGGGCAGCGCGGTCCCTCCCGCTGACACGCATGCACGCATACACAGAGCAACGCACGTGCGCACACACCCATTCAACTGCGAGTCCCTTTTCATGTATGACAGTTACTGCCGGATCGTTTTAGTTAGTGATGCTCATTAATCAGAACTAATACATTTACACTTAAACAAATACACAAGTTTGCACTTACCCGTGGAGCGTTGTTTTGGCCGACTGGGCAGTTTGAGAGAAAGTGGGGGTGTACTTCTGGTGTTTTTCTTTCCTGTTTGTTTTTTCCCCATAAAGGAAGTCAGTGATTTTCTGCTGGCAAGCTTAATTGTTTTTTTTTTTTTGTTTGTTTGTTTTATAACTAAAGAAAGTAACTTCAGAATGGAAGCAGGAAATTAGTAATTTTTTTTCTAGGGATAAGTGTTTATTAAATTTTTTTTTATTATTAAAATCAATGCTCAATTGTTTGCTGATCTAATTGTAGGGCGGGGCTAAGGATTTATACTGGCCCTACTGGGTCAGTCTGGCCTACTGGGTCAGTCTGGCCAGAGAAGGTAACGTTGCTGTGCTACACAAAAAGTTTTTTTTTTCCTCTGAAAAGATGTAAATACTACATTTGTATCCATCTTATTTTTTGACATTTTTCCCTGCTACTCTGCACTTATTTTTGGGAGGTGTAAAATAAATATCATAACCTGAAGATGTCGACATGCCCTCCATGATTTTTTTCATTATTTTGGAGTCAAGTTTACCGTGTCAAGGCCCAACACAGGTAGCCTGACGTAGTCCTACTCAATTCTAGTCAGAATATGAGTCTGATACGGCTCCATAGAGCTGTGATTATGGGGCGTGTTTCAAACGAACCAGGAAAAAAAATGCCTCTGCACTCAATTGGATAGACCTACAACCAATAAGAGCAACGGAGTGCGTGACGTATGTTAAGCGACGCATAGTTGTTGTCAACAAAAATCAAAGCGTGCAGTTTCACACCTAGAATAAGATGAGCCTTGATCGCGTTTCTCTGTTCCTCTTTTAAAATTGATTTGCTGTTGATATCTTCTAGAACAGACCTAATAGCAGAATCTACTCACCTCAACTCTCCAGCGGCAGCCATTGTTGTTGTCACCCAAGCGTGCTTTGGTGACGTGGTTGATTACGTTACTGTTGATCATCTGTCCATCATCGTAAAGCCCGCCCTGACAATTTGATTGGCCCACTAGATATTGTGCGAGCATACTTGCGCTACTATTGCGCAATGCCAGACCGAACTTCCCGACCTCAAACGTTGTGGGCGGGACTAAGTTCGGAATGGCACCCAGGCTACAACACAGGGGCTGTTAGCAGGAACCCACGACACCCCCATCTGTCCTCTGAATCTGTGTAGCACCTTCAGATCTTAGGTTACAAGTTTTGTCCTAGCAGAGCTGGGATTTTTACTTTTGTATCTATATTTACTTGGAGTCACAGTTTTTTGCCCCGTCCATGTTTGGATGATGAGAGTTTTGTGACTTCAAATCCTAACACTAGTTTAGGATTTCATATCTGGATTTTGTCAAAGTCCTCTATGCAAATTTATCCCTAAAATATCTGTTGTGTTTTTTGTTCTTAATGGTGACGTGTGTTCTAAATTGTTCTCCAAAAAAATTTACCAACTAAATTTCAATTGGGTAACTACTTAAAGCAATTGGTTTACTTGGGATTTAATGAAGGGATATCAGAATAGAAGGGATTGATATGTATGAAAATAAATGTGCATCAAACATTTTTAGTCATGTGCTGTATGTGTTGGTCTTCTCAAAAAAAATCCAAGTAAAATTCGTAATTTTATTACTCTTAGGATGCAAAATATGGCACTATATCAAAGTAAGATTCATAAGACTAAAATCTGACTATTACAGAACTGAATGTTGTTTAAAATAACCAAAACAGTTATCTTAACAAAATCTGACTCCTTCCTTCCACATTAGTGTATCATCATGTTAATATGAGTGGTTCTCTTGTCCAAGGAGGCTTCACCCATTCAACAAAGCGACACACCGTTAGCTGCTGCAATGCTAGGTTCCCTGGGTGGTGCAGGGGAGGTGGACACAGAGGAGGAAGAGGAGGAGGATGAGGAAGGAGGGAGCAGGCGTGAATTTGAGGACCCACTGTGTGCTCTGGTTAAGAACTGCAACATGCTGCACAACATAGTGGGGCCTGCTTGTATCTTCCTCAGACAGGGCTTCGCTCAAAGTCAGATTGTATGTATGACTCTCACCTGCACATCACAACTTTACAGCAGGTTCTCTCACTAATCCACTCTGTTACACTTTGACCTATACTGAGCAAGGGGAGGTCAAATCTGCTGAGTCATCTTCACATTTAAAATCACACCATATCATTCCTATATTTATGAGCCTGTTTGCTGAATATAAATTGAAATATTTTCTGTAAAAGAACAGAATAACATATGTTAAAGTGGTCTATTGTATGCTATGTTTGAGTATGATGTAATTAAACGCTACATTTTTTAGTTTTCTAATTGAAAAAAATACTCTGAGGAAAGCATGGTGTTATTGGAGATGTAAGGCTCCTGGGATACAGGAAATGGCTATTTAAGATATTTTTCTATTTACCTATGAAAGCTATTTTATGGCATTCTAAAGCTGACTTTGTGTTCTGAGCATACAATCAACAAACTAATGTAAAGAATCAAAGGGCCCTGCCCCTTCAAAAGGTCGTCAGTGAAATTCAGTTTAAACTAATGTGCAACAATTGCAGTGTTTCAGTTTTGAATCACAGAATAATTTAAAATCTGAAATCATACGTTTAGCTTCTCAAGGTCTGATATGTTGTTTTTATAAAAAAAAAAAAAGTGGTGATCATTGTCTTATAGAAGCACATTGAAAATGAAGCTGTATTTTTCTGCCCTTATTAACACGTTTTGGCTGAATAGACATGGATAATGAGCCCCGGTAATGCATGGCAGGTGAAGATGAGTAAAAAGCCTTACAATTATTTCTTTATAAAGTAAGCAAATCCGTATATGTATTTATATGTAGTTATTTTTTAATCATACATCCACCACAACATTTTTATACGATTCCTGTGATGTTAACTTACCTTAAATCTTTTTTGTAATTTTCAGATTTTTTTTAGGTTTGCCAGAGTGATAAATATCAATGAGTAATGATCCCTCCATAAACCTGCACATATCTAGAGTCAGACCATTAAGCAAATATTCTGAAACATCTTGAACTGTCGCAAACAAGACTGGATATGGACCCATTTTTTATATAGCCTATGAGCAGGGTGCTAATTGAGGAGCAATACAATATCAAAACATCTGTGAAGTTCAGCAAAATATGAGGTTTTGCCAAATCTCCATGTGAACATTGTATTTGCACGCTCTATGTATTTAAGACGCCAACTTTGTAGAGAGGTGATAAAAGAGCTAAATTTGTATTTACAAAACATTCTAAATGCTTTTAAGTTATGTTATATCGGGCCACTGTAACTTTAATGAATTCATTTTACCCAGCTTTAATTATTCAAATAACTAATTACGGTATTTGAATAATTAAAGCTGTCACTGCAAAACAGTTGGTGCAAAACAGAAAACATGCAAAGATAAAATCTTGTTGCTAATTTTTTGGGTTGACCGTCCTTAACCCTGCAAAATAGAAAAAAAAAAGATCCTGATTTTGTTTGAATCCATACAGCAAGGAAAATAATCGAATCCCTAGACAGAGAACATAGGGTTTTTAATCTCCGCTAATACTCCTTTCATAATAAGATTGCAAAAAATAAATAAATAAATAAATAAAAATAAGCAGATAAAAACAGCTCTTAACATTTTGATTTGACAGGGCACTCTTGTCATTTTGGTATCCTTTGTAGGATTCTGGCCTTAGTACATAACACATCATATTCCTCACAACTTTTAAACCTACCAGTGGAACAAGAATCAAATATGTATTGTTCGAATTTTGCATTATCCACTAAATAAGGGGGGAGGAGTGTCTTACATGTCTTCATTTAGCTCATTCAGGTGTATTGATCTCTGTGAAAACAAAAGCAAAGCGAGCAGCAGTTCAGCTGGGGATGAAAATAAGCTGCAGAAAGGGGAATTATAAACCGATAAGCCTCCGTGATTTGTAATACAATTTACGGCCGTAATCTTCCTGCTGCCGTAGTGTCCCCTGTATTCTCTAATCCAGGTCTGTAATATTCCTGCTGCTGCTGATGTCATGACCTTGCAAAGCAAGTAGTGATCAGACAAACTCTACCTTAACCAAGTATCCATGCCTGAAGCATGAACAGTAACTTGAAATGTTATTCTTCGTTCATTATTTAAAGTTCTATGAGTTTGATGTATTCTTTCATAAGGTGGTTGTTTGCTGAGGATTTTAAAGGGTTTCATTTTTTTTCAAAATGCACACTCACAAGCAGAAAACAAACACCATCAGCTTTAAAGCACTGACGATATGTTTGTGTTATGCATCCGCTGTATTTCTACACTTCAAAAACATGAAGCATATTTTCTAGACACGTGAAAACTGAATTCATCCTGTTGCACATTATTAGTTTAAACTAACTATAGTTGAAAGGAAAAAGCTATGCTTTTATGGAGTGGGAGAGATGGACTTAAACTGAAACCTGTTTTCTTCTTTAATATGTATTCTGAGTGATAATCTCTATTGGCGGAAAGTGTAACCTGACTGACTGCTTTTCTTTATTTCTTTCTTACTTATTTCCTTCTCCCACCAATGCAGGACAGAGACCTACGACCCGAGGAAATGGAAGGTACAGAAATATTAATAGAACCACTGTCAAACCTAAAGATCTAAACAAACAAAAAAATACTTTGCCTTTTTTTCTTCATCAATGCAAAACATAATGAACAAATTTTACATTTAAAGGAATGTATGGTTGTTTTTTTTTCAGTTAAAAGTATTTGTGCATTCATTTTAATTATTGAATTTCATTCAGTCTTTCCCACTGGGTTTGTACTTAGAACTATGAGTATTGTGATTAAAAAAAACAACAACAAAATATATATAATTTTTGTTATAAAATTAGGAATTGTGAGAAACTGAAATGGTATGAACCAAAATGCAAAGCTTTGTATTTATTGCTCTAATTTAATATAAAGCTGTCTTTTTAACTTCTTATAATTACTCAGTTGCAAAGCTTGGTTTCTTACCTGGAGGGAAGTTTACGAGCAATTAGTCCAATCAAACATATTAAATAACTAATTATATATATAGTTTAATGTTTTCTTGTATAAAACTTTAGAAATCCCTCTTATATCACAAATATAGTATTAATTTCAAAAACATTACACCTTTTCAGGTGTAATGTGTGTATTTTAGATGATGATCAAATACGGTCTTGATTTTAGTTTTTATTAGTTCTTTGATTGGACGTGGAATGGAACCTTCAAATAATAAGAATTTTAATGTCACGTGCAGCTAACGGATGTATACAGTCATGGAAAATAATGATTGGAGGACCTTTGTCATCTAACAATTGTAATGCCGTGAAATAACTACTCATGTGCAAAATGTGACTAAAAAAGAAAAGAAATCATGTGTTCGACATTAAAATGAACAACGTAATGAGAAATATGGTTGTCTGCCCATATCTCAAACCATCATTGGGACTCCTACATGTCTTTTTATATAAGATGCTAAATAATTGCCTAACTCAGTAGGATCAAATAGCAAATTAAAGCTGACTTGTTATAAATCTTATCTTCATTGAGAGAAAGAGAGAGATTAGTTTCTTCGCTGTAGGGCTAAACATTAGAATTTTGTCACCCATCCAACATATTAACTGGAAGGTCTTATAAAGTGATGAATTTTTTTTTTTTTTTTTACTGCAGTAGTGGCTTGTTTTTACGACAGTAGGCTGACAGGAAAGGGGTGGTAAGTGAGAGGGGAAGATACACAGCAAAGGACCACAGGTCCTTGACGCGGTCCCCGTCAAGGATTAAGGCATCCTTACATGAGTCGTGCACGCTAACCACTGCGCCACCTGCACGCCCCAAAGTGATGAAAATTAAATGCTCAAAAACCTTGGGCATAAAAACATATGTTATGTGTAGGTTATTCATTTCTGTTCAGGTGATACTATTTGTATTTTTAAAGCTACATTATCTGCAGCAACAATTATTTTGTTTCACCAGCAGGTTCTCAGCAGCCAGCAAATACTGGCTGCTGTAAAGAACCCTTTCACCCTTCTGTTGCTGAAATCTTGCTTTATTGACAGAACTGCGTGAGGCCTTCAAGGAGTTTGACAAAGACAAAGATGGATTCATTAGCTATAAGGACCTGGGAGAGTGCATGAGGACTATGGGATACATGCCAACCGAAATGGAACTTATAGAGCTCAGCCAGCAGATCTGTAAGTCCTCCAAACACCTAGAAAATGTATTTATTATAGGTATAGTATTGCAGAGGCAATTGGTCCTTGCTGCAGCATGTCTGCTGGATGTCAGCCCACCACCATGCTTAGCTACACACACACAAAGTCAAAAAGTATCCATAAAAACATCCACCAGAAGGTTACACAGAGGTAGACATACTGACATGTTGAGACAAGATGTCCTTTTTTTTTTTTTTACTATTTGTATGAGACATCACATGGTATCCCGGTTTGTTGCAGCCTTTGAACACAAAGTGAAAAAACGTTTTCAATTCATTTGAAACATTTTGTGCCAAAGAAACAAAAACAACATATTTTCTTTTACAGGTGGTGGCAGAGTGGACTTTGAGGACTTTGTGGAATTGATGGGTCCCAAAATGCTTGCTGAGACTGCAGATATGATTGGAGTAAAAGAGTTAAGAGATGCCTTCAGAGAGGTTAGCAGCAGCAGGTTACTAAAATGTATAGCAATATTTTTGTCCATGACATTTCATACCATATCTATTTTGTCTTTAAGTTTGACTCTGACGGTGACGGTCAGATTAGCCTCGGGGAACTAAGGGAAGCAATGAAGAAACTTATGGGAGAACAGCTTAACCACAGGGAGATTGATGAGATTCTAAGAGACGTAGACCTCAATGGAGATGGAGAGGTGGACTTTGAAGGTGAGTAAGTATCAAGCTTAAAAAAGCATTAAAAATCCCTAAGTAAATCTGCAACACTTCAAGGAGATGTCACCAACTAGGTCAGAGAGTCAAATTAAACATTCTGAAGCGTGAGCATCACAACAATATGTTATGCTTCATACATCATTCATAATGTAAGGCAGATCTTTGGACTCTCAGCCCAATATGGTCAGGCTAGTACAGGAAAACAGGTGGATAGGACAGATGCATCACTACATTGATTAACCTTCTCCTGACACTGGAGAACACTGGAAATAATATCTTCATGCTCATACACAGGCACCCTTCAAAACAAGCATGGATTAAAATCTATGTACTGACATGGGAGCAATTTATGTTTTATGATATTCTCTTAATTTCTTCACATTAAGAAATGCTAGATGTGTTTTTAGATATGGATGGAAGTATGGATTGATGGAAGTATGGATGGATGGAAAGATGGATGGATAGATGGAAAGATGGATGGATAGATGGAAAGATGGATGGATAGATGGACACAGGTGGGATGTAAGGAATAAAACTAGATACTTTTCAGATTTTTTAAAGAAAATTAAAAGAAGCTAAATCTACAGTAAAACAACCCTTCTCAGCTAATCCATTATGCAAGCACCCGCTGCTGCATCCTTGGTCAATACAATCGGGTGAAAGTTTGTCAGAACTTTACTATGCCACCCTGATGAAGTAAAATAACACAATATTTTATCTCCCACAGAATTTGTGCGCATGATGTCTCGCTGAAGACTCTTTCTACTGCACTAAAACCAACATGGACCAGACTGTGTACTGTTAAGTCTTTTCATATGTACAACAAATTCTTGGTCTTTGTGATTTTTCACTTACCTCTCAGGTAGATCCACTAGTTTTTTTCCATTATAAAAATGTATTATGTGCATAAAAATGATATATTTATGACTTCAAATCATATCAAAAATATAAAAATGTGAAGATATGTAAATATTTCAAGCAATTACAGTACCACTTTGCAATAAGGCTCCCCTTATAGATGGCTGATAGTTTATAGATATTTTATTATTTAATCTCTAAAAACTTTAATACTCATTCATAAGTGTTTATTATGAATTTAACATATCATACATGCTAAACAATTTAGTTTGACAAAAGCTTATTGTGCTTACAAGGTAGTAACTTAGTTTGAAATGTTGAAAATAAACACTAGATGAAATACTATATATAACAGATCCATTATTACTAACCTTCTATAAAAGGAACCTTATTGTAAAGTGCTACAGTACCATCATTTTATTTAAAAGTGAAAATGTGAAAACAAATATTAATCAACTGGCATTGAAAGTCAGTTTAGACATTATATATTTTTTGTTTATTTTTGCAATTTGCCTGGTGCAGCTGTGTACATTTTCAGAAATATTTAACATTAATATATAGGCAAATGTTTAATAAAACATGGAACGTCATGTTGATATCAATAAATGATAACCCAATTGTTGTGTGCCTGTTGCGTATGATGTCATCACTAAAGCAATCAAGTTGTTTCAGAGAACAAATGCACTTTTATGCAGACACCTACATTGGTATTTTTTTTAATAATATTACTTTTACATTATTCTTACAATATTTTGAACTTTCTAACTCTGCATCTACATAAAACTTAAAGTTGCATAATGGTTTGAAATGTCATTTTTAAATCAGTTAAGTAATTCTAGTAATAATTTCTGAATTCTGTCAAAAAAATCTCTTTTAAGAAATAAAATTCTTTAAGGCATCCTGTTGCTCATCTAAACTTTATCAGTTGTTTAGTCATATACTTTTATTAAAAACATATCTAAATTATTTTTGGGAAAAAAAACACATAACCACAAAGTTCAAATGTGCAAAAGAATACAAGGATAAGTTTCTTTCCAGATTTGTTTATAAATTCCATGTACAAAATAAAACAGAAAATACTAAACTAAAACCATTAGAAAAGCTAAACAATGCTTATAAATAAGCCCCAATGGCTTTAGACAACGGCTTTAGACAATGCTGTAAAAATTATGTAAATGTTAGAATATAGAAAGAATATGACTTATTACTTGGTTTATCTAGTCAAAATGTGCCAGTACTGTAAATGTACTATGTTGATTTAAAAAAATAAACATTATTTTTAATGTATTTTCCACTTAAAGAGTTAACCTATTCTGACGGTTGGAAATTAATAATTTATTATTACTATCAAAGGCTTACTATGACAACTTTTTTCCTAAACTTACACTGGATGTAACTTCAGATCACAACAGAGTTCTCCACAAATCCCAGTGAAACCAATCTAAAACAATTTGATCCAAACAGATACCCTTTTAAGAACTTAAGAATTCCCAGTATCAAATTTATGGTGGTCTTCTTCTGTTTGACTGATTTTAAGATTGGGCAAGGCAAGCTTGTTTGTAATGCATATTTCAGGAACAAGATATTTCACAGTTTCACGTGATAGAACAATAGTAAAACATAAAAAGTACATGATAAAGAACAGTCAACTAACGTTAGACTAGATTTTCTGCAGCTCAGATATAATTTTGACCTCAATTGAAAATAACTAACCGGATCCAGCATATTTGCACTTTTCTGGAAGTTTGTTTTAGATTTGTGAAGACAAAACGGAATGCCACTTCTGTTTGGTTGTGGCTCTTAGAAACTTATCATTTCAATGATGTCCTTAAAAAAAACCTTGGTTGTGATGTTTGCTATCTTACAGAAAATTGCAAACACAATCAATACTGCAGCAGAACCAAAGGTAAATTCCTAGATAATAGAACAAATTAACAAATAAATACAATATCCATTACCTACAACAATATAGGTATAATCAAATACAATAATAACATACAACTGTCAAACGTACTTAGAGAACCGAGCTATGAGTTCCAGGTCAGGTTGGGTTTCAGAGGTTACAAGCTGACTTTTCTTTTATATTTGTATGATTTTCTTTTTCTGTTCACTTTGGGTGACGTGAATCACTTTGAGTTATTTTTTTTTTATGAGCTTAACAAATTCAATGCACTGTCCAAGCTTTATAGAGATTTCCAGATGTGTTCTATCCTCTTTGCAAAATCCATCAGATCATCCCTCTCGGGGCACTTTTTTAGGTCTTTTAGCAGTTGACTTTTCAAAGCCTGTGCAGTCTCACTGTAGTCAGTGCTGTAAGCCGCCATTGGAGGTGTCCCTTTCCAAGCTGAAGGAAGGTACCAGCTCCAGGTGTATGGATCAAACTCTACCAGATCAGCAAGCTTTCTTGCGTTTATCTCAGCATCCCTCTGGATCAGTACATTGAGCCGATCTAACAACTCCTTATCTCTCTTCTTTCCCTCAGAAACAGAGACTTCATTAATGTCAACCTGAACAAAGTGGCACAATGTTTTCTTGTCTGCAACTTTTACCCTTGCCAGAACATTAACTACCATCCTTAAGAAGTCCTTGTCTGTGGAGCTTTCCTTGGAAAAAGTCACTACTGTAATGTCGCTTAATGCCACAGCAAGACTCGCAACTTCTTTGTCACGTTCGTGGCTATGGTCGTCCTGAATCATCTGATGTGCCTTCAGTCCCTCAGTGTCGATTATCATAATGCAGTCACAGCCTATCTCCCTCTTTACACGTTTGCTGACGGTGATCAGCTGCATAAATGCCCCCCTAGTGCACATTCCTCTGTTGATGGAAAACCTGGTCCCAAACATGGCATTGAGCAGAGTTGATTTTCCTGAATTTTCTTCACCAATGACTGAAATAACTTTGACCCTGCTGTTTGACTGTATAAGGTGGTGAAGTTCAGCAAGGACAGCTCTCATCCACTTCATTGGAATGTTTCCTGCATCCCCATCAACAAGCTCAAAAGGGAAACTATCTAGCATCAACTGAGCAAAATAATAGGGCAGCTGTTCCAACCTCTTCCTTAGATTGCTAAATTCTGGTACACCATTTGCACATGTATACCTCTGCCCACATTCTCGAAAAAAATGTTGCATTCCTAAAGAGCAAATAGAAATTTGCTGCTCCACATCTGCTATTATATCTTTTTCTTTTGGAGACTCATGTTTTAGTCTCTTGTATTGATCCAGCAGAGCTGACAGCTGCTGTCGAGAAAAATCCTCCAGTGTCATTTCCATCCATTTGAGGAAAAAAGAACAGTGAGCTTCAGAGGCACTGATACCTTTAACAAAGTTTGATATCATAGGTGTCATCTCAAACCTGTGTTGCTTCTTTTTGAACTCTTTTTCTTTTGCTTCCAAAGACTTACGGTAATCCTCAGTTTTCAGTTTGCCAACTTTGTGTAATCTACAGTGCTCCATTTGCACCCCTGATATTGCTTTCCAGATGATTCCCTGACATGGCAGTTCTTGTTCTTTGAACTCAGGTATTTTATCAATACATGAAGTGATGAGTCTGGAATTCCTCAGCCCAGTTTTGCATTCATCTGTGTCTTCATCCACAAGGATCTCACAACTCCGAGCTCTTTCAGCCAGATTTTCCAGGGAGACTTTTTTTGTTTTATTCTCGAGTATTCTAGAAACTGATTCCTGAAGGGCTCTTGCTAACTCTTTTTCAGTTCTTTTTGTTTCACTTATATTTTTTGTTTTTATGCTTGGCTTGATGGTCATATATTTTAATCTAAAGGATTTCCCCTTTTTGCTGCTAATCAAAATAATTTTTGCTCTGACATCTTTTACTTGCACAGTTTTGAGGTACTCAACCTCTGCTTCATCACAGAAGATGTAAACAACTGCAGATGACTGACAAAGGAAAGTGAACTGCTTAACAAAGGTCCTGATATCACCTCTCAGGTTGGCAACAGCTATTGGTTCATTGAATTTATCAACAGAACGGATGCCACAAGGAAGGTACCAGGAGAAATCAACAAGCCCCTCTGATATTCTTCTTGGCACATCTCCACACTCCAAACCAGAATGATAAAATATGTCATGGTACTGCTCCGTGTTACTTAGCACTTGGTTTAGCATCTGTGACTTAGAAAGGAAATGCTTCCCCAATCTGACAAATGATATAAGAGCAATTTCAGACTGCACAAGTCTTTCTTCAGTGCTTGACCCTCGGAATGCTTGCATCAATGGTTTGAAGGTTCGGACAACTTCACGCATAGACCACAGCATCATTGTCAGTTCTCTTGTTTCACTGTCAGGCAGCAGGAGTGGGACAGCAAACTGACAAAGAACCATTTTCTCAATAATCTTCTGCTGTAGGAATTTGTCGGAACACAGAAACAGTGCAGTTATCAAATCTAGCGGATTTATGACATTTTTCTTGTCCACATCCGAATCACTGAACATATATTTCACACTTCTTGCATTTGTGTTCCCCATAAAAAGCCTCTTGAGAAAGGCCTCATGAAGGGATTCTGCTGTTTCCATATCGATCTCTGTGTCACTCCGAGTAATTTTCAGGATGTTGCATATTTTAAGTTTGATGTCATAATGCTCTTCAAGTCCCATTATTGACAAAACCTCTCTGAGGCACAGCTCTGTAAAACAAGAGAAAATCGATATATCATATATTCGAACCATCTAACTAAGCATTTAACTAAGCGTTTTTCTATTGGTATACAACAAAATACTTTTTATGAAGATAATTCTTAACCTGTTTTGGCTTTTGTTCAATAAGGACACAAACCTTTTAAAACTTGAATAGTGATTAGAAGCAAAAAATACTTTTTAAATATTTTAAACCTTTTTCTTATACCTAATATTAGACATATTAAATTCCTATAATTAATTGTATAATTCTTGCATTAAGTAATAAGTTTATTAAGGATTGTTGATGTTTGTTAACTTTACTTACAGCCAAACATCTTTTTGGAATGTTTTACATATAATATGAATGAAAGTAAGCTAGATGTTAAAGTATTCCCGAGTAATATACTTGGTTTTTCTTTTTCCTGAGTTGTATTATGAATATTTGTCTATTTCAAACAATGACCCTTTAGTTTTTTGTTTATCCATCAGAGTTTCTTTAATAAGGCCGTCAAACGCTTTTACCAACCAAAGTCTTTAGGTGGTAGGATCAAATATACCGGTTTAAATCCTGTCTTGTGTGATACACTGTCTTGCAAAAGCAATCATCCTTTTTAAAAATGTGTCATATCGTAAATGCAAAGTTTAATCAATTTTTTTTCTGTAATTAACTAAGATAAAAGAAAAGTAGGATGTATACAGGTTTCAAAAATGTTTTTCATGAACAAATTGTCTTTAAAATGTGGCATGCATTTGTAATCAACCCCAAAAGCAATCAATGGCCTCATTAAGTTACTGTTCAATCCATCATCTGTCAAAGGAAGGAGAACTGGGATCCCAAGTAAACACTGTTATCTACCTGAACTGATCCCTCTGTTTTCAAAAGTGATGGAATTAGATCAACTAGTTCAGGTGAGAGGATCTATCAGCAGGGCATCTAATAGTTGTCTCAACCTTTATGACAGAGGCAAGAAGCCATCATAAAAGAAAACCATAAGATTCTGTTTGCAGTTTACCACAGCCATGCATGGGATAAAGCAAACCTTGCAGAGATTCTCTGGTCAGATGGAACAAAAATGTAAGTTCTTGGCCTGAACGTGAGATGCAAGATGTGGCATAAATTGTAATGGTGAAATATAGTGGATGCAGGTAACTTTGCATGCAAGCTGAATTCTGGCTGGATTTCCTCAATCAGATTCAATCAGAGGAGTTCCAGGTCAGTAATGTATGGAGTGTAATCTGCTACACATTATCAGTCTGACTTGCCAGGTTAGATGCTAGGATCAAATTGTGGAAATATTTATGTTTCAGCAGGGACAGAAAAGCTAATCACAGCTTTAAGCTCTAGTTTGTTGTTTGACTGATATTTTAAACTTCTGATGGGAATGGCTGCAAGGTTAATGTAGACGTAAATCAAAACTACAGAAAAAGACAATTCTACACAGCATTGTTTGTGTCGTGGTAAATATAGAATGCACAGCACACTTTTCACACTCCTAGTTTTAAGTTAAAGCATTTATTTCCCTCTATCTATTCACGTACTTAATTTGTTTTTGTTGGTCAGTTGCATATAATCCCAGTAACTGAAGTTTGTTGTAAATCAGAAGTATTTTAAAGGGTTGAATACTCTTACTACTTATTGAACGGTATATAAAATGGTATGTATAGACCAGTGGGCAGTCTCAGGACTGTGTCTAAATGCTAAAGATAATATAAATATATATATATATATATATATATATATATATATATATATATATATATATATATATATATATATATTGTGTGTGTGTATCTCACCTGTGTGTACAGTGATAGAAACTGGATCACTGGTCTTGTCATTCAGCAGTGTGCAGACTGATATGCTGTACTCCGTGTCTGGTTCTAAGTCAGATAAAGTCTTTTGGCAGCTTTTTGTGCAAATGACAAAAGGTTTTTTAGCTGGACTTTTGACAGTAATCAGGAATTGATGTGGGATTCCCTCCATGTTTTCTCCTTTGGTCCAAGTTAAAGACAGGGTTGTGGACTCTGAATGATCTTTAAACAGATGTCGGGGAGGTGGCACAGCTGCAAAAAATGTGTTAAAACAATCATTATTGGAACTAAAAAATGAACCCAATGAAAATAAATTTGGCTTCTGTATTTTTACCTGTCAGAACACTTTCTTTTACCCATCTGCTTAAATTGCCATCCTCATCCTCTGTGGCCACACTGAAGAAATACCGCTCTCCAAGTTGAAGATCATTTATTTCCACTGTATTCAAATCTTTGATGACTAAGGAACCTACTGCTTCTGTTAATGAGCTCCATTTAACTCTGAACTTCTCAGTTCCTTTCAGCTCCTTTGGGAATCCCCAAGTCAACACCACAGAGTTTGTTCCAACTTTCAGGAACTTGATGTTACCAGGAGGGGGCACTGCTGACCAACAAAAAAAAAAAAAAAAAATAGATGTAACGCTACACAACTATACACTGTGAATTCTTATATTATAAAACAAGATTGTCGAAAAAGAAACCAGTTTGAAACAAAACTGTGCATCCATCTACAGACCAATGTTTGTAAAAAAATTTAGGATTTTGTTTTCAGTGTTCGATCTAAAGTATGACAATTGTGTGCATTTTGTGGCACTAATTAAATAGACTTGTGAATGTGTTAATTCCATGAAAGCAGTAATTCCATTATCACCAACAGCACACAGTATCTTCTTTTAATCAGAAGTCAGATTTGAAAGTATGACGTGATTTAATAGCAGGTGTTTCATAGGTCGGGATAAAGGTCAGTCACAGTAAAATAACCAAAGAAGTAATAAAATCATAATTATTAAACCAACAATAATATTGAAGTAACAATATTACATCAACGACCATTATTTCCTTTTATCTTAATTATAGTGTTTGGTATTAATTAAATCGGCTATATTTGACTATATTCAAAGCTATTTTTTTATTTAAACTGTGATTGGTAAAATGCCAAACAAAAGATAGTAATTAACCTGAGTCATGCTGCCCAGAGTCCTCACCAACATCCACCTGTAAGAAAATATTTTTCATTAAGCACACTTCACAATGTTCTCACAGTTATTATCTCAGGCTTACCTGACGCATGGTCCTTGGTGAAAGTATGTCATGTTTCTTGTGGTATCCCTCCACACAACTGCTGCAAATATGCATCTGATCAGTTCTGCAATAAAAATCTTTAGATTTCTGATGCTGGCAGCATCTTCCATGGGCCTCATTGCCGATGTCTTTCAGAATGTGTTTTTGCATATCTTTGCTATGTTGAAGGGCATCAGGCTCGCAGAACAAGTCGTTGCATGTCAGGCAGATCCTCACAGCAGCATTTTCTTGGCACAGGTCACAAATCACCCCATCTTTACTAATAAGAGAAATTGAGGAACAATTATTTACAAAGTTATAAAACAAAAATATATTAAGAATATATTTGTCTATTGTAAACATCCAAGAAATGATTTCTTCTAAGCTAATACAAAAAAGTATATAGTATAGACTATACAAGATCTGAAAAAGGCCTTTTATGACATTCAGAACAGATAAAGCTTCGTCATCAGTTATAGGGAGCATTTTTAACATTAAGAACATGTCAGAGTACAGAAATATGCCAGTAGGTTCTACATGTAGCATAGATTTCAACAGTCCAAAGAAGAAAACATCACACCAGTCATTTATCCATAGGTTACATGCTATTATTGTGCTAGCAGCACAACCTGTGGAACTAAATCATGCTCTCCCAGGCTGGAATTAAAGGCTGGTTGTCATGTTGCATAATGTAAAAAAATATATATATTTGTGTCCACCATAAAAAATATATGTACAATTAATGTGTGATTAAATATTAAGATCAAGAACCATTAAATCAAGCTTAGAAAAAAGCCTCAGGATCAGGTTTAATTGGCATATGCAAGTGTTTACCAAACTGAAAATTCTATTATTTAGTTTTCTATTCTATTAGTCTAAGCCAGGGGGCACCATTGTGGGGCCTTCGGGCACCAAGAGGCCCTCGAGGACCACATGGGGCCTTTTCAGCATCTTTTGAAAACAGAACAACTCACTGGTAGGCTGAGTTTGAAATTTTATTTCCTTTTGTGTTTTTTCTTTTTTTTTAATCATTTATTATTTTATTTTATGATTTATCATATTAATCATAGCATGTAATCATTTAGAGATTTCAAAATGACAATATCTCAAACAACTTAGAAATTACACAAAACAATACAATTTTAAAGGATATAAAAAGGATTGAAATTTTCAATCTTTCAGTTTAACATCATCAACATGATTTTGCCCTGAATTTTAAGAGAGAACGTTTACCCATCATAGGAATCCTTAGATATAAGCGATGAATATTCCGAGGTCTCAGAAGAAGATATGGACTCAACTATCTCTGGATAGTCCAATTTGGGACTGATGGCACAAAAACAGGAAAAGCATGTATTAGTCCTTTATTGTTTTATTTTCCATTTAGATTATACAAGATTAAGCTATAAACACACGGTTGATAGATGTTTACATTTTCATTTATTATGATTTTTTTCCCCCACATACATCTATTTGAACATGTAGATCATTGAAATTCATGCTCATCAACTTTCAATTTGTTCTTAAATTGCTGACTTTTGCAAATTGCCCTTTTAACGGCACAATTCAACTTGCTGGTAAAATATTTTTCTCTATTATGTACTCTTTTGATCAGATTTTATCAGATTTATAAGATTTTGTCTAAATTGTGTTTTTTGTAATGAGTAAACACATATCAGATATTGGAAAAATACTTCACACAATCAGATAATAGATTAAATTTTTTGATGATGATAGCGTTTTATAAGTTTGTTCATTTAAAGTATTTTACCTTTGGAAAGTAGTATCATGATGGGCTATGTTAGCAGTTTTTTGATGATATACAGCAGATGGAAGATTAGGTACTTGAAATCTAAAAGCCAAAATACATAGTTTAGAGCACTTTTTTACAATGAGTAATTGTACCTGAGTTGATCAGAAATAAATGTAAACCTTATACTTTAAACATACCTGGAAGGATCAGTGTTATGAGATACAATTCCACTTTTTCCCCAGTGTTTCGGGATGCCTCGTGATATTTCTCTGCATCGCACAAAGACAATATAAAACTGTTCAGCCAAAATAATTACTAAAAACCAGGGTATTGAAATAAAGAATTTTATAAAATAAAGTTTTTGCTTACATTTTGTTTGAAAAATAAAGAGGGTTCTCCCTTGACAACTCTGACTCTGTCTCATATTGAGAATAGTCAACATCTGGTTTCACAGGTCTGAAAATATTAAGTAAAGTGTAACTTTTTCATCATCAAAGGAGAAACAATTGAAGTTGCTCCAACAAGATTCCAATTTCAAAGAGAGGAAAAGCAAGCTATGTTGATTTTAGGTGAAATATTGTAAAAAGGGGAATATTTTTATAGTCTTTATCTGAGTTGATCATCATACATAGGTTGTCCTGCATAAATCTGGTATGAAAATATATGTTGTCTTTAAGAAAATGAGGAGGAGGAAAAAGAAAATAAGAGACATCATACTGCAGCCTGCCACATGTCTGGGAGAGGGAGCTAATGCTGTCTCAGACAGCATTATTAATGACATTGATCAAATATTAGACCAAAATTTGTTTTTTTTCTCTACTCAAATGACTTAGGGGCTGCTCAATGGCCGCAATGGGTAGCACTGCTGCCTTGCAGCAAGAAGGTTCTGGGTTCAATACATGGGGTCTTTCTGCATGTAGTTTGCATGTTCTCCCTGAGCATGTGTGGGCTCTCTCTGGGTACTCCAGCTTCCTCCCACTGTCCAAAAACATGACTGGTAGGTTAATTGGCTTCACAAAATTCTCCTTAGGTGTGATTGTGTGTATGAATGGTTGTATGTCCTGTTTGTCTCTGTGTTGCCCTGCGATGGACTGATAACCTGTGTACCCCGCCTCTCGCCAATAAACAGCTGGAGATATGTTTGGTTCTAGTTCTGGGTGCACAGAGTAGGCTTGAACTAGAATACCTCAGTGGTCTGGGAGGTTGATAAACTGACCATGAATCTGTTTTGTATTGAGGTGCTGATCCATTCAATGATTTATGTCCTAACAGAAGGATTTTGTGGACTATTCTTTGAGCTACAGAGAACCAGTGTAAGGACTTAAGAACCGGGCTGATGTGCTCTACTTTCTTAGGTCTAGTGAGAACACAGGGAGCAGTCTTTTGGATCAGCTGCAGCTGTTTGATTAACTTTTTAGGCAAACCTATTAAAACACTTTCGCAGTAATCAGTAAAAAAAAAATGCAATGAAGAGTTTTCTAGATCCTGCTTGGACATTAGACCTTTAGTCCTAATGCTGTTCTTCAGGTGACTAAAGGCTGAATTAGTAACTGCCTTTATGTTCCTATGAAGGTTTAGGTCTGACTCCATCATGAAACCAATATTTTAGCCATAAACAATGGTTTCTAGCTGTAGTAGCTGAAGTTGATAACTAACTCTGGATCTAACTAACTAACTCTTCTTTGGTCCGAAGATTATTACATCAGTTTTGTTTTTATTCAGTTGTAGAAAATTATGGTGCATCCACATATTGATCTGTTCTAAGCATCTTACCAATGCTCTGATGGGTTCATAGTCACTAGATGACATTGTTATGCAAAGCTGTGTCTTCTGCATAGTTATGGTAACTGACCTGGTTTTTTGCTATAATTTGAGCTACAGTAAGGGGAGCATGTAGATATTAAACTGGAGGGGCACAGGAATGGAGCCTTGAGAAACCCTTGCATTATTTTCTGGTCTCTGATTTAAAGTTGCCTACTGACACACAGAAGTCCCTGTCCAGACACTTTAATAAAATCGAGTGATCGACAGTATCAAAACGCTACACTGAGGTCCAATACTGTGTTTCTTCCAGAGTCTGAATTTAGATGGACGTCACTGAACACCTTAATCAGGACAGTCTCTGTACTGTGGTTGGCATGAATACTTGACTGAAAAGTAGCTTCGCATCGTCTCATTGTTAAGAAGGCATTTAACTGTTGAAACAAAACTTTTTTGATAGTCTTACTGATGAAGGGGAAGTTTGAAATTGGCCTGTAGTTCTGAAGCACCAATTTGTCCAAGTTTTTCCTTTTGAACGATGGTTAGATAATTGCTGTTTTTAAGGCTCGAGGGGGAAATACCTGACATTTATTATTTGAACCAGATCAGACTATAAAGCAGGCAAAAACTTCTTAATAAAACCTGTGAGTAAAACATCAAGGCAGCAGGAGGAGGAGCTTAGCTGCTGCACTTGATACTGATGTGCAAACTGCTTTTCTTATCTTATACCTTGTATTTTTTCAGTAAAGAATCATTGCAGGTTTCTTTTAAATTTGAGTTCATTGCCACAGAGATAGGAGGATTTGTTTAATTGACTGTAGCAAATAAGGCATTAGCATTATGAATGGTTTTGTTGATAATCGCAGAGTAGATAGATTTTCTTGCATATTTTAGTTATAAATTGACTAAATTGACTAAATTGACTAAATTGACGGTGAAGTCTCTCTTTATAGATTTCATAGTGGACTTGGAGTGCATTCTTTCGCCACCTTCGTCAGGCTTTTCAGCACTCCCTCTTTTCATTTCTCATTGCTGGAGCATTTCTCCATGGGGATTTCATCTTCCCAGAAGCAACTTTCACTTTAACTGGAGGAATGGAATCAATGATGAGTGCAACTTTAGAATGCAAACTATCAACCATCTCATCTACTGAGTTACAGTGATAAAGCAGAAGGATAAGCCTGGGTAGAATTATCAGTTGTACTGTCCATGATAACACACATTCTTACAACATTTCTTTTTGTAATTAGATCAGTGGGAGAGATGGTTTCAGAGTAAAGATAAAATTGGTCTGATCGGGCATCATCAGTCACAGAAATATTATAAATGGTTTCTTGGTCATTTTACTGATGACCTCATCCAAAATATGTCTTAATTTTGAGTTGGCTGTTTGACATGTTAAGTCAAACCAAAATGTTTAAGTACTGTATATCACACAGTTCTCTTGCAATTGTGTCTTCAGGGTTGTGAACAGGTACATTAAAGTCCACCAGAATAATTAAGTACTCATGTTAAAAAAATATCAAAGATACAAGTTCAATGAAATCTCTAAAAAAGCTTG